TTTAGAAAACTTATTAACCTCACTCCAAAGAAATAGTGAAAATCATAACTTATTTCTTAACATAGCAAAAACAAAGATAATGCATACAAACAAAACTGCCATGGAGAAGGAAACATATGTTAATGAGGAAAGATTGGAAGTGGTGGAAAATTTCGAATATCTTGGGTCACTGGTTACCAACAATGGTGACACAATGAAAGAAATTAAACGGCGACTATCAATTGCTCTTCAAAGACTAAAACAACTGAATAAATTATGGAATTGTACAGATAGAATTACAAAGGTAAGATTTTTAAGAGCATGCATCTTTCCCATTGCAACATACGCCTGTGAGACCTGGACACTTACTAAACAAGCGGAACAGCGCATAAATGCATTTGAATATAAATGTTACAGACAGGTTCTAAGAATATCTTGGGTAAAGAAAAGAACAAATGCATCCATACTTCAAGAGCTGAATATTGAAGAGGGTTGGCTAGTAAAGACAATAAAACAAAGAAAATTGAAATATTTTGGTCACTTGAAACGTCATGGAAGTCTAGAGAGAACAATAATGGAGGGGTATATGCCTGGGAAGAGAGGAAGAGGAAGGCCAAGGAGAAGATGGGTGCAGGATGTGGCAGATGATTTCCAGATGGGTGTATCAGACGCAGGACATCTTGCTCATGATAGGAAGGTTTTCCGGAGGGTTGTTATGGCAGCGAGGTTCCGCGAGGGACATGCTACTGAATGAATGAATGAATGAATGAATGAATGAATGAATTACTACTACTACTACTACTACTACTACTACTACTACTACTACTACTACTACTACTACTACTACCACTACTGATTAATACTACTTACTACTACTGATTACTACTACTACTAATTAATACTACTACTGAATCCAATAATTTACTCACGATACGGACTCTACACATACGTTTACAGTTTCAAACTTTAAATTAAGGCGCAGGGCCCCTATCGTGAGTATTGATTACTGAATTATACAAAAGATAAGACCTTAAATCATAAAATAGTAAACAATGTTAACACACTGCAATATGGCGACCGTACAGCCGCCTGGTGAAACAGGTTTAGCTTGCATTTTTTTTACGAGTCGTCTGTACTTGCAGGCCGTCTAACGTGTATGAAACATTTATACTTTTGTATTGCTACATTTGATAGGTACGTATTTAAAGTTACTTATACTATATGTTTTTTATTACGACTATTGAATAATATTTGTGACAATACATATTCATATACTGTTTCTCTAGTAGTATTTTAATAATTTATATATATATATCATATCTTTACTGAAGGCCGGCAAAGTTAACTTAATGTAATGGTTTGGTTACTATTCAAGTATTTAATTTAGTGATACTAATAATAATACATTATTATTACTACCATACTATATCTTTCTGCTATTACTAGTACAATATTACTAATAGTATTATTAACCTATAATCCAAAAAAGACTCAGAGGAAGTCTTTCCTCATTATCATGTGCCGTGCCGGTAAGCGAAACCTGTCGTGTTTCGCCCTTTCACATGATCACTAGATTTACGGATTAGTTCAATATTTTTGTCTTGCCCCGTCCATCTGGACCTGCTATCCAAGTGTTCATAACATTGCCTGGTCTAAGTCTAATGTAAATAAATTTCACGACTTTCGTCTGTTTTTATGAAATCTCGACATCAGACTAAAATCAAGATGTTAATTTGTGTGTTACTGTTACTGTGTAAAAATTATATACATATTTAAAAAAAAAAACATTAAAAAAGGACAATGGTGACTTCTGTGTTGTAATTGTAGTAAAGTAAGCTTCAAAAATAAAAAGTAGTAAGTAATTTAGACATTGCTCTGCTGTTGCTTTTTCCACATTAAAAAGATAGCCCTGGAAAAATGTAGAGAAAAATTAAATGGTGTATAACAAGAACATACATGAAATATACAAAACAAATTAGAATATCTAATATGAATATTTAGAAAACAAAAATTACATTTAAACAGATCATTTATAAGAAATTCAAATTTTTCACTGAAATATCCCTTATCTATAAAGTATAAAATCTATAAAATACACTCTATTTGTCTCATTTATAAACACTACCTTTTACCAGGGATATTCAACTAAGTTTACTTAGGGGCCAACAAGTTTTAAATGGAGATCATGGCGGGCCATAAGCCCAAACCCCAGGCTTAGAAAGTTTATTAATGCAGTACAGCTGGCAGTGATTAGCGGGCCACTTGCTTGGCCTCCGCTGGCCAGATTTGCCAGCAGGCCATCAGTTGAATAGCTCTGCCTCATACAAAAGAACTCATAGAAACACCCTATTTAAAACATACACACTAAACAGCAAACAACAGCTAAGATCCACTCTCCGTCACACAACACAAAGACTGACAAGTTAACTCATTCATTAACAAGCTACTAACAATATGTGTAACACCTTACAGGACATGTTATACTTAACTCAAAGCTGTTTTTCTTGTGGTATGGAGTACCAGCACCTATTTTAACTCTTTAAGTCACAGGGGGTTTAGCATAAGAGACCCAAAGTATAGTCAAGAGAGATGAAAAATTGGAGCATCCTGCATTCATTAGGCTTCTAGGTAGGAACCTATGAACGTAGGAGAAAAAGTTAAAGAAGTAGGTGAAGAAGAAGAAGCAGGTGAAGAAGAACAAGAAGAAGAAGGCGAGGAAGGAAAAAAAGAGAGAGAAGAAGATGAAGGTGAAAAAGAAAAGGTCATAAAGATAAAGAAGAAGAGAAAGAGGAGGAGAAAGTCAACTGCTCCAGATGGAACAAGTTGAAGCAACAACTGTATGAAAATGAAAGAGTTAATATCCACTCAGTTTGTCTTGAAAAGTAAGCCAGCACATAAGTAGCAAAAGTGACACACAGCCTTTCACTCCCAAGGTCACAATGAATAGATAGCCCTAGGTCTGCTGGCTGTTTGTCAATTAAGCTCCTATTGTAAAGTAGGTCACATGTTGAGAAGATAATGGATGTTTACTTTACTGGAGGGCTGTGACCTCTCTTTTGGTTGTAGTACTTGTAGTGATAACTATCTGGATACACTAGTTATACATAACAAGTGAAAAGGCCTCCTAGTGGGCAAAGACTGATGAATAGATTACATTCTGCAAGCACAGCATTGTGGCCTTGCCCAGCAAGCCTATAAAACTCAGAAATATTGACATTTTCACACACATTAAATTTAGTAGAAATCCATACAGGTAGGGCGCTGATGATATTCATGTGATTATTCTACTGGTTTTCTTTTTTTTTTATTTATTTAAAAAAAAAGTATGCTCAGATATTTCATTGGAAGCTTTTTAAAGTATTTGTTGTAGTAGTAAAAGTAATTTCAACAAAAATATCAGGTTCAACATCAATGTTGTAATTGGGATATAAAATGTTTATCAAGTTCTCAGAATATATATTTGTTATTTTTATCTATCATGTAATTAATTTTTGGGGACAGTTTTGTATTATTGTTTCAAATATAGCTTTGTTTACTCCCTTCTGGGCTTTGATTAAGATAAAAATTGCACTATCAATATTTAAAGTATTTGTGTACAATGAATACACATAATCATATGTTTTATAAGGCCTTTTAAGAGTATTTCTAAAGTATTAACCTGTGAGAAATTCTGTGGAGGCATAGAACAAAATGAACTTTATCTGCAAAGGGGTCAGAATTGAGCAAGCAGGTACATCTAACATTCCGCCCTTCTTATCTCACTCCTTTCACACATTTTTTTGTTCATACAGATAATCTGTTTTAACAGATAATAATAAACATCACCTAAATATTCATTACAGATGAGTGATAAAAACTCCATGGACAGAGTTCTTTTTCTTCTTCTTTTTGCTTTCTGATTTACAATGCCTTACAAATTCTTGTGATAAACGACTGTTTTTAGGAGTTCACTTTTAGTTCCATACACCTTTGAGTGCAGTGTTGACTCAGTGGGCTAGTATTCCCTTCTTAATGGGTTGTTCAAGTGACATTCTTGTAGTCATGTTCTGTAGTCAATAGGCACACAGCCCACACGGGCATAACGGTGAACTAATTAGATGAAGCCTGTACATATAGTAAAAGTAAGTAAAGGACCCTGTTCCACGCCTTAAGGCGTATAGGGCATATAAGGCTAGACCTATATTTTATAGACCAACAGAACAAGATGGGTGATGTGGTCAGCATCATGCCCGCCGCCTCTACTTCCCGGGACTACACCCGGTACCCACTCAAGGCTGGGTCGACCTAGAAGCCAAGATAATTTTTTAACCTGCACATATACTTTTAAGTTTGTTATGGCCTGTCTTGAGGCATAGTATAATGACCTGCTCTTGCCAGTCAACTAAGTGCTAGTTATCTTTGACCAGGTTCTGTTCAGTTCTAATAGATTAGATGGACACTTTCTTTTCAAATTATGTTACTGCATTCTCTTCCCAGTCACATTCTGCCCCTTGTTTTCAGCATGTTTATCCGCGGTTTCATTTCCTTGTATACCACAGTGCCATGGCACCCACTGGAGTACAGTGTGCTTTTGGCTAGCCACCTTGGTAAGTTCAAATCTCTGGTGAGGTCGTTTGCCATTCTTAAGGGCTTGGAGCACCAATAGCACATATGTGAAGATGACCACTTGATGGCGGTTAGAACTTCTGTTGTGTAAAATTTCGGCCGCCTGCTCTAGTGTAGAAGTTGACTAACCAGGATTGTTTTCTTCATAATTCGAGTGCATCTGCCTGAGGCGAAGAACCAACAGTCAGCATAAAAAAGCCAGATCTGTAAAACGGATATACATGCAAAACTGAAGTTCTGTAACAAGACTTTAGTCCAGAAGTGAATGAACAAACAGAACTTTATGCTATAGTTTATAAGTGGTGAACATAAAGAAGTAGTTAAAAAAAAAGTTTTTTTACACTTTAATTATGTTATTGTTTTAATATAACTCGTTTTTTTTCTTGTACTAAAATCCCATCAGCTGTACATGAAAAATGGCATCACCAAAAATAGAAGTTGCAGTGAAGAACTGTTGCCCTTCTATTGGAGAAGGCCCCCACTGGGACGTGAAATCTGAGTCATTATACTTTGTCGATATTACAACAGGCGGAATCCATCGCTGGGATTCCAAAACTGGCCAGGAGAGCAAGATTAACTTAGGTGAGTTTTTACACTGAGATCAACATGTAGATTCATTTATTGGAAACAACATGCTGCCATTCTAAATCATTACTAGCCATTCGAGAGTGGTTTGACAAAGGGGTTTAAATATTTCTATCTCTGTTCTCCCAATACAATGTGGGAGACCCGAGTTCGACACCCAGTGAGGTGACAGTGTTTTTCTGTTGGGGGCAAAATTAAACATCCTTACCTGCACAGTCCAAGGTGACAGCACTAGCTAGGCAGCCCTAAATCCTCAGGCTCGAGGCCACCAGTCTAAACTGCCCTAAAAAGTGGTAAAATAAACAGTAGTGAGAGAAAAAGTGACAGTAAGACAGTTCAGTACCGAAGATACTGCAAAGTAACTTATGGCTACACCCAGTATATCAGACAGTAAAGCTTTCGGGAAACATAAAATACCTTGAGCTAGTGTTTCTGTTTGTGATCCATAGTATCGTTGCATATAAAGTACAGTAAATCTAGCTACTTGATTGGCAACATCCATTCTCTGGGGCCTCAACATTGTTTATCATGATTACAAAAATTAAAAACTCCCTGGGTGGATTGTGGTGCTTCATGAGGATGGGGGAAGAATGCACCCATGACCTCCTAACTCTTTCAGTCCCGGGGAATTTAGTGTCAGAGGCCCAAGGGGTGGTAAATAAAGATATACAATTCTGCATCTTGCGTTTACTTCTAGGTAGGAACCTTTGAACATATGAGATGTTCTTTAGGACTGAAAGAGTTAACAAGCATGTTATAAAAAGCAACCGATTAAGGATTTCCTGATGTTTTATTTTGAAAGGCGCAGATATTGCAGCCAGTTGTAAAACAAACTTTAAATATCTAGGATCTATAATAAACAGCAATGGAGACTGTTCAACAGAAATTAAAAGGAGGATGGCCTTGGCAATGCAAAGATTGAACAGCCTTAAAAGTCTATGGTTAAGCACCAGCAAGGCGATAAAGATTAGAAATTTGAGAGCATGCATCTTCCCTGTAGCTACATACGGATGTTAGTCGTGGACTTTGTCCTTAAGAAAGAGAATAGGGGCTTTTGAGCTGAAATGCTATAGAAAGATTCTCAGAATATTTTGGACAAAGAAGAGGAGAAATATTGACATCTTTAAAGATCTGAACATCAAGGAAGATTGGCTAATAAACAGCATCCTTTCTCGGAAGCTGAAATATTTTGGTCATATCAAGCACCACAACGGATTGGAAAAAACTATAGCAGAAGGCATGGTACCAGGAAGAAGGGGCAGGGGCCGACTGACACGAAGATGGGCACAGGATATAAGTGACTCCTTGAGTATGAAAGTATATGAGGAGGAAGAACTGGCGAGAGACCGAGTTTCTTTCAGGCAGACCGCAATGAGAGCGACGTTCTGCAAAGGATGTGCTACATGATGATGTAAAACAAGTCACAGTGTACCAACCATTATTTTAAGTGCAAACACCCAAAAAAAAAGGTGATGACATAAAAAAACTAAACATATGTAAAACAAAATGGTACTGATGAAGTTAAAGATGAACAAGACCACTGGAGATGCCTTAGGAATGAAGATATATGAGGTAAAAAGACTGACAAGGGATCAGGATTCTTACTGGCTGAGCAATGTGGTTCAAGGACCAGCTAGATACATATATAAATGATGTATCCTGATTACTTCATAAAGGACATGTGAAACTTGCTGTTAATTTGATCCCTTATCAGATTTGCTAGTTATCTAAACCAGTGGTTCCCAGCAGTCTGCGGAACAAATTTAAGAACAGAAAACAACCTGCAACCTTTTTTTATAATCTTTTTTTTAGTTAAACAATTCTAATAAAGGGTTAAAAAACAATTTTTTTTTAAATTTAAATTGAAATTCTAATAATGATTTACTCGTTTTATTTTTAAAATGTGAATATGAAATAAAAAAAAAGGATGGGGTCTGTGGCAGACCTACAAAAATAAGAGAGGGTCCATATATCCCAAAGTCTTATTATTATAAGCCACTGACAGTTTTGTTTATTTTTATTTTTACACTTAGTAAAATACATTCTTGAAGATAGCTCAAGTATTTATTATGGTAGTTTTATTTACTGCATAATGTCCATGTGTTATCAGAACAAAGACCATGAACGTGGATAGATTATGAAACATATTTTGCATTGCCATCAATATTTTATGGTTGATAACCGACATTGTTTTTCTGTAGTGAGATTAATCTAAGGTTTATTTGACCTGACATTGGTGAAAAGATATCAAACCAAATGAAAAGTAGAACTAGTCAGCTTCACTTTATCACATACACAAATAACAAGTGAACACTGCAGCTAGAAAGCTTTCATTAGCACATTACATAAATAGACAACACCACATATACAAACAAGGTAAAGGTAAAGTCAGGATATGTGAACTAGCGTCATTTAACAAGGTTATAAACCATAAGTGCTCTGCCACCAGTACGGACAGCTGAAAAAAAAACTGTCTGCATGTGTCCCCGTCCGCACTCAATTCCGTAGCTACAGTGATGTTCCTCCATTTACCTCAGAGTGTTAATTCTGGTACCCAATGTCTGGATGCTGGGTGAACCCAGGGAACCGCCCGGTTTCAAACACCGGGCGTGAGCTGCAGCAAGTCGCATCTGGATTTAAAAACAAGTCTTCTATCAACTGCGCTAACACACAGAATCACTAGAGTATCAGCGAGCTGAATGACACGCGTGTGAACATTGGTTTATCTTTTCAACCCATACTGATAATTGTAGTTTTAAAAGTTTCACTTGGAAATTATTCATTGATACAGCCTAAACTGAGTCTCAGAGACTATCCTGGGAATTAAAGACTGCCAGAAAACTGCCAATTACTGCCTTTATATAACCACTTTTGCGGTGCAGGCAGGGGGTCTGTCCCCCCCCCCCCACCCCCCCACCCCTCCAGAATAGGCCCTGAAACACACAGGGAAACATGCAGTTATAATAGACATGCATCCCCATGTTGTTACCAGGGCTCCATTTTGGAGGGGTGGAGGAACAGACCCCCCCCCCCTCCCCCCACACTTTCTCCCCAACAAGCGTGTCAAAAAAAGGCAACTATTTGGGGATTGTTTCTTTCTAAGTGGGAGTGCATCTGTCTGAGGCAAAGAACCAATAGAGTGCATATAAATAAGCCAGATCTGTCACATGGATGTGCATTGAAAACTCAAGCTCTGGATCAAGATCAAGGTATAGGAGTTGATGAACAGCCAGGACTTTCCACTGGAGTTTACAGTTGGTGAACTTGAAGAAGAAGAAGACAAAAGACGTTCATCATCATCAGGTGCCCTGCCAACTGGCGTGGGGAATCATGCCTCTCCACTATCTTCGATCTCCTGCAGCATGTATCATACGGGTATTAAATAAAGTACTGGTACCATCAGAACTGGAACTGTTTGTTTGCTGCTGAAGATGGGACGGATCTCTTATGGGAGTGTCCCAAGTGCTGTGATGTTGATTGTTAATTCAACATTCAGCAGATATTAAATTTGTATCTTGTTTCTTTTAGATGGGACAGTTGGATTTGTCATCCCATGCGAGCGGGGTGGCGTAGTTGCCGGACTGAACAGAACCATTTCCCATGTGGATTGGGACACTGCTAACACTACAGTTCTTGCAGAGGTTGAACAGGGTACAAAGAACCGATTCAATGATGGGAAATGTGATGCTTCTGGTCGGTTATGGGCAGGCAAGTTATCTGAAAATTCTTATGTGTTTTTTTTGGGGATAATCTTTGTGTGCAAATAATGCATGCATGTGTGTTTTTGAACATGCATATATGTGTGTGTGGTATTTTTCTTTTAAGCATAATCTGTGTGTGCATATATGTGTGTTTGTGCACATGCACATATGTGTGTTTGTTTGTGTGTGTTTTTTCCTGTGGTGGTACAGTTTTTTGTTACATATAAGAGTGCATAAATGCTAATGATGTTAAATTTGTTGTTGTTGTTGCTACTGTTGTTGTTGGTGGTGGTGGAGTTTCTGTGCTGATAAAATTGTTGGGTGTTTTTGTGTATCAGTACTGTAGATGTTGGTGTATGTGTCTGTGTGTATCGGGTAACTAAATTGTAGTTGTATGTGTTTTTGTGTGTATCAGTTAACTAAATTGTAGTTGTATGTGTTTGTGTGTATCAGGTAACTAAATTATAGTTGTATGTGTTTGTAACTAAATTGTAGTTGTAAGTGTCTGTGAGTATCAGGTAACTAAAATGTAGTTGTATGTGTTTGTGTGTATCAGGTAACTAAATTATAGTGTATGTGTTTGTGTGTATCAGGTAACTAAATTGTAGTTTAATGTGTTTGTGTGTATCAGGTAACTAAATTGTAGTTGTACGTGTTTGTGTATATTGGGTAAGAGGTGTCACCAAACATAAACACTATACAGGTAGCCAAAGAAGAATAGTAATGCCACCACAGAACTGGTGTTATCAGTCACCAATTGCTGAAGAAAATACTGAAGATGGGATCTGAGCGCTTATGGACTTGTCAAATGTGCAGTAACTAACTAATTAACAAACAAGCAAAATCTGTAAAATCAATGTGCAGTAACTAATTAACAAACAAGCAAAATCTGTAAAATCAATGTGCAGTAACTAACTAACTAACTAATTAACAAACAAGCAACATCTGTAAAATCAATGTGCAGTAACTAACTAACTAACTAACTAACTAACAAGCAAAATCTGTAAAATCAATGTGCAGTAACTAACTAACTAACTAACTAACTAACAAACTAGCAAAATCTGTAAAATCGATGTGCAGTAACTAACTAACTAAGTTAACAAACAAGCAAAATCTGTAAAATCAATGTGCATACAACACTGAAGTTCTGAAACAAGACAACAGTCCAGAAGAGGAAGAATTCGGGATTTCTGCCAGACTCTACAGACTGTGAACTTGTGAAGAAGAAGATTCTTTGTAACGTATTTCAGCTTATATTTTTCTACATTTTACAGGTACCATGGGTTTTGAGACTCTACCTGGAAAAGTGGATAGTGGTCAAGGCAGCCTGTACAGCTTGTCAACTGACCATAAGTTGACCAAGCATGTTGGGAACATTGATATTAGCAACGGCATTGACTGGACAGATGACAACTCCGTTATGTATTATATTGATTCGGTACCCAGAAAAGTATATGCTTTTGACTTCAACATAGAGGAGGGAACAGTCAGTAAGTTGGTTTGTTATTAATATAACATATTTTCATGTGCGTTGTTGTTGTTGTTGGCACCTTTCTGTCGTTCCAGACGATATTGTTATATGGGGAAACATGGGAATCATAGCCCATGATCTGGGGAGTGTGACTAGCAAGACCCACCTGCATTAAGAAAAGTCTTTCACAATTAAAACATAAGCTTTCAAGATTGTTGCCATTACATATATTTAGTCTGCCTCTTCTCAGACACTCAGCTCTTGTCCTTTCTGCAAGAAATAATTTTTTGTCGTAATTTTGTTTACTTTCCAGATTTTTCCTCTGCACTCAAAATGGTCCATGGTATTTTTTTTCCCCATGAGTCTATCTCAATATCTGTATCATTCATGTCACACTTGCACATATCTTAATACTGTAGTTGAGCCTGGCCTCAGCATCTTCTACCCATCTTAATTCACCCTAGAGGATGTCCTTATGGACTCTACCATCATCCATATACAGTGCTGCCTTGATAAGAACAACTCAATGGGGACTCAAGCAAGGGTTCTTCTTTTTTGTCTGGAGAGGGTTTCAAGCAAGAAAGATTGCCTGGGATAAACAGATTGTTCTTCACAACAGAAATTCACCATGTCTGATATCGCTTTATGCAGTCTGCAATATATGTGTGTGTGTATACATATATATTTTCCCATCACAAAAATAGAGGGGGGGGGGGGAGACAGAGGGAGACCAAGAAAGTAGATACTGGACAAGTTGGCATCATGGCATGGAAGACCATCTGTATCAGAAATGAACAATCCAACTCAATTCAACAATGTTCTAAGGATCACCAGTCTTCTTCATGAATGTGAAGCTCTAGTACCAGTATTATACACACTGCTGGTTCCTGTGTTTGGAGAGGGAAAGTAAAGCAGTGCAACACAGTTGACATGGAGATGGTCCCACAGTTCAAGTTTGCCAGGACATTCATTCATTATCCTGATGTGCATTGTATGTCACATAGGGTTGACAGTCTATTTCTTCATTCCATTCTGTCCTAGGCAATCACTTCAATATCATAGATGAAATCCAGCCCAGCACCTCTGGCCTGTTACATCAACTTTCCCTTTAGGGTTTCTTTTGGGTGTCCTGATTCTCAGTCGGCACTGCAAAAAGGTTAAAAATGGACTAATGTGGCATGAGTGGATACCATGCATTGGTACGCCAAAATTGCAGGGAATAACGTGGATTTACTGTCCGGGATATGCAGGAGTGCGAGGGAATGAAAGAGAGGATTTTCTGGCTCCAAAGGAAAAAGCAATAGGAACACTCGTGCTGAACAAGGGAGATATCCTGAAGACCATATATGAACGACTTCTGACAAAGGACACAAGATTAGATGAAATAACATGTGCAAGAGTGTGTGAATGAGGAATTAAATGTGGATCCGGCAAGGAGGGACGCATGAGAGAGAGAGAACGACGTGTGTATAATCAGTGTGCTATGAGAACTGTTAGCAACAACACCTTAAGACATTTGCTGCGGGAGACGGAGCATCTATGGGTATTCCCTGGTGTGCTATGATGACGATTCTAAAATCAGTAATCAAAACAGTAATATGGGTGTCCTAAATCCCTTTATTTACCATTTCACTGCCTGTTAATTCTTTGCTTGTTTCTTCTCAAAATGTGTCCATTATAGTGCAGTTTTCTTTGTCTTGTAGCTGTTTTAACCAGTGGTTGCCCAAACATTTTTCTTATATCTTCTTATTCCCTCCTGCCCCTGCCACCCCATTTTGTTCATTTTTTATGTTCAACATTTTCCTCAGGCATTTGTTTTGAAATGTATTTAACAGTGAAATATGCTAGGTGATAAACTGTGATATGTTATTGCTTGTGTTAGCATTATTTAAAACCATCAAACAGTTATGTCTAAGATTGACATGTTTATTATGTTGATTTCTTGTTCATTTACAAATATGTCATTTGGCTGAACATGAAAAGAATTTCCTTGTATCATTTTTTTGTGTTTTCAAGGTAACCAAAGGACAGTAGTCGAATTTGAACCAGGTACTGAGTCCACGTACGGACTGCCTGATGGCATGTGCATCGACAACGAAGGGAAAATCTGGGTAGCTTGTTTTAGTGCCAGCCGAGTTTACAGATTTGACCCTGAAACAGGTAATGTTGTTTTCTTCCATCTGATCTTTTAGATACTTTCTTCCACCCATCTCATAAGGGTAAACACAGAAGAGAAAGAAGAAATGATTGTTTATATCTTTGCTTGTGGTGACAGACGGAACATTATTAAAATTTTTATTTCTTAACTTAGGACTACACAAAAATTAGGGTTGTCTTATGCATTAAAACTTATAGTAACTTATTGAATACCAGAAAAAAAAGAGGGAAAACCATCAAGAATTCGTTTTTTTTTAAACACTCTGTCATCTTGTCTGACATCTGATATACTTTCAGAATGCTCCTTCCGTCTATTAGCTCTCATGATGCCAGTAACCAGTTGTGATTCAAACAGATTAAAAATTTTGTTGTTGCTTCACACTCTCCATTCCCGTTTTTTTTTTTTTTTGGTTTAATTTAAACAAAAATTAAATCTTACCAACACAGGTAACCAACCCCCTTGCATGCCTTGAAAAAGTTTCAATTATTCAAAGATCGTCTAAGCCGTTCCCTAGTGGGATACAATTTTTGATATTTCGAAGCCCCACCCTGGCTTTTGCCGGGGGCCCTATATATGGCCTAGACATAGATATGGCCTAAACAGCTAAAATGGGTTTCTGGGACTTCTCCACGGGTGATTCTCAAAGCATTTTGTGTCATAGGGTGTTTATCGCTTGTGTGATGTCCTGGTGGGGTACAACTACCTACATACCATTATTCAAAGATGTACTTGCTTGCCTGCCAACCTGAAGTTCTTTAGTTCTAATCTGTATCTAGGCAGATTTCAGATTTTACCTTGGCACCCAGGTTGACCGGGCCTAAAATGGATACCAGCTAATTTCCTGGGAAATGAAGTTGGTTGGTGGGATGTTGATCATATCATCCATCAAGTGCTGATTGGTCTAAAAACATATGAGTCTAGTATCCTATGCCAGATAAGCCACTGTCATATAACAAAGCCTTTTCTTTACTAAAGCCTTTAAATGTGTTACTTTAACTCTTTCATCCCTAAAAAATATTTTCCAAATTTTGTTAAAAGGAAATGCATCCTCATAATTACTCTTCACTAAACTAAGAAAGATTAATGTTGAATTAGGAATCGACATCACAGCACTCGAACACCCTCATAAGCACTCTGTCCCCATCTTCAGCAGCAAGCAAAAAGCCAAAATTCTGACGGTACCAGTAACTGTCTGATTGTATTTCCGTCTCACCTTTCCCCTGAGTGTCGAGCATCAGCCAAATCCCCTTGTAACTTCATGCAGTGCCATTCTCCTCAGGCCATAATAATCTATCTGTTTCTCAGAAAGGGAGGAAGAAGCAAAAAGAAGAATTATTATTCTGGAGTCTTAGTTTTTTTTTTTTTTTTTGTAAATTAAAAGTTTAGATGGTTCAAACCTGCGACCGCCAAGCAGACATACAGGCTTGCTGAACACTGCCATAGCACCGCCACCCTAGTCACTAAAAGAAAAAAGTATCCTTCACTCGTTTCGCCAGTATTTCCCTGTGTAAGAGAACTAATCACTGCATACCAATGCAGCAGAGAATTTACTGCTTTCTCTCCTTTCATTCTTTTTTAGCATTCCGAGCCCTTGAGGTTCATTGCTGCAGATATCACCTGCCTCCATTCATCTTTCTGGCTGGCCTTCTCTTTCCAGTTGGTGACACCAAGTGTTAGCAGGTCTAATATTGTCTCTCCATTGTCTTTTTTCGTCTGTCTCGTTGTCTATGACCATCCAACTCCCTTTTGAACAGTTTCTACCTCTCTGTCATCTGATAATATCAAGGATTTTTTTTTTTCACAGGGCCAACCGATTGGCTCAGCCACCCTTCTGGCTACTTTGAGTTGGGCCAATATTTTGGCTGATCATCTCCAGAGGGTTAAAACACAGGTATTTAGCAGTGTGCAAATAATTGATTTCAAAAAGTCTACATTAATTAAACATACACCTTATAGAAGAAGAAAAGAGTTAAGAAGACTTGCTTACAGCAGTATATTTGTTTCATTTATTTTGCAGGCAAAACTTTACAAAGTCTAGAGTTTCCAGCCACAAATATTACATCCGTTTGCTTTGGCGGGAAGAACCTAGATGAACTTTATGTCACCTCCAGCATGTGGAAACTTCCAGAAGAATTAAAGGACCAACAACCCTTGGCCGGCTCCATCTTTAGAGTTACTGGACTTGGAGTGAAAGGGAGAGCACCCAACAATTTCAGAGGCTAATTGTATATTTTGTTAGAAGAGTGCAGTGTCTAGAATATTTAATTTTGTTCACATTTCAATAAAGCTGCTCAAATAAATATTATGTGGGTCTCAACCAAAATGTTAAATTATTGTATTAAATATATTATGTTCATATAGTCATGATTATTTTTCCAGATGTTTAATATTTTTGTTTGAAAACATCAAGTTTTCTGGTTCGTTTCTTCTTACATCCGAGTAGATGTCCCCTTGTGTGGGATGCAGTTTTTAAAAATTTTTTTTAAATCCTCACCCTGGCTCTTGCGGGGGCCCTGAATATGGCTGGGCCAAAAATATGGCCTAGTTATAGATATGACCTAATGGATGAAAGGGGTTTCTGGGACCTCTCCACGAGTGATCCTCATCTACATGGTGGCACTTTGTGTCACCGGGTGTTTATCGCTTGTGTGATGTCCTGGTGGGGTACAACTACCTACCTCACCTCGAAGTCTACTCTCCTAATATGGGACACAATTTTTCGTTTATTTAAAGCTGTTGCAGAGGAGCCCTAAAATAACTCCTATGAGTTGAACAAGGTTTCTGGGACCTTTCCCTGGGTGATCCTAATCCAGATGGTGGCATTTTATGTCACCAGGTGTTTATCGCTCATATTGTGGTCATGGTGGTGTTGAACTTCACTCAATCCTTCTTACCTTACTTCCCGCCAATATGAGGTGCAGATTAATTTTTTTAACTTCAAAGCCCCACATGGCTTTTGTCAGGAGTTCTAATATACCCTAATGGTTGAACTTGTGCCCGGGTAATTCTTATCTGAATGGTAGCAACTTGTGTCACCAGGTTTTTATCGCTCATTGTGCGGACTTGATGGTGCTGATTGTCATTATTCTCACCTACACAATAACAGGGCTGCATGGGTACCAAAAAATATTGGCAACTTTGGGAAAATGCACGAACAAACTTTATTTTCAAGGGGTTACAAATTAGGCAATGCAGGCCTATCTTACATTCGGCCCTTCCAAACTCCCCTCTTTCACACAGCAGTTGTATTTCATCAATAAAGCATGTTATATTCATGTAATAATAATGCTTCCTTAGAGTTGCACAAAATCAAAGTGGCTTGTCAGGTTCTCTTCTCAAAGAAGTATCCCAAGTACCTGATAAAGAAATACTTGAAAAGAACAACTTCAGTGACTGACTGGCATATGGAGCTCCACTACTTTAAGATTAACCAGGTTGAGGAAGAGGAGGAGGAAGATTAAATACTTATCAATACATTCAAACTATAAATTAAAAAAAATTGGGGAAGTAAAGACAGCCAGCGTAATGCTGACCAAATTACCCATCCAGTGGCGATATGTCTGTAAAATTATGGGACGCTCTTCCCACATACCAGATATGCCTATGGCGTGAAAAGGGATCTTTACTTTACTTTTTTATAAATAAAAAATGAGGACAAAATACTGTGTAACTATTGGACTTTCTAATATAACCGTTTTATTTGGTCAAACAGATTTCAAGATTAAATATTTGTCAATTTTTTAAGCCTATAAATTAAAAATGTAAAAAAAAACTTATGTAACCATTGGTGCTTTAATTCAACGGTTTTAAATGGTCAAATAGGGTTTTCTGGTTTTGTTTGTTTTATTCTCATTCTTGATGTTTTAATCCTTGAGACTGCAACCCTGGAGCGGAACAGTTACCTACTTGGTTCTTTCGCAATATCCAACCCCAGATGATGTCACGGGAGACTCCAATAATTTAGAGGGTGGTTAGACCGGGTTTCCTGGCTGTCTGAATCTTTTAATGACCCCAAAACATCTAGAACTGGCCCTAACCCAACCCAGTAAGGTCCCACACAGAGTGCAGCCTAGGTCCCAGGAATGCATGCAACCTTGGTACCATGACTGCATGCAGCCTATCTTCCACCCATGACCTGTGGATTTCCCATGTTTGGGGTAGGATGTTGCGAAAGAACCACCTACTGTTCTTACCCATACATGACTACAGATTACACCAAGCTAGTTTAACAGGGTCATTGGGAATATGTCCTATATACACTACGATTTAGGAGGTGGCTATTTTTGTTGTGAACATTTTGTTTATACCTGGTAATTTTTCTTGGTTGAATTCGTATGTGGATAAGAGTAATTTCTGATAAGAAGAACCATTTCTTGGGTCCCCAGTGAGTTCTCCTAATCAGGTCTGCAACGGTATAACTGTTTTGTATAGTTTGGATATTAGTTCCTGGATTTTTATCTATTTGATTCTCATTCTTGAGGTGTGAATCCCTTTAGACTGCAGTTATGGAATGGAACAATTTGACTCTTTTTACCCATACAGGACTCTAGATTAAACCAAGATTGTTTATCCAACCAAGCCTTAGTCATAACTTCAACTGGGCACTGGGGATATGTTCTTTATAAATATATTATTAATTTGCTTCTTTTGGTAGTGTGAACCTAAACTAATTCTTTACTGCACAGGACTGCAGGTTACACCAGGTTCATGTATTCATTATGGGTTCCCTGTTTTGTCTGTCAAGGTTAAACAGGGTATCTGGGATTAGTCCTATTGGCTTGTCATCCAGACTGAGTCTCTGTAATGTCAGTATGGCCAAACATTTAGATAGCAGCCCCAGTGAGGAGGGGAAAATAGTATATCTAAATACATATACAGTGATACCTCAAAATACAGACATAATCCTTTGCAAGACGGCATTGAAATTCCAAATGGTTTAAGTTCCAGGGCAATTTTTTTGTTTTAAAAAATAATGAAAACGGAATTAATCAGTTCCAGGGTCTAACAGACTAAATACAGTCCTAAATACAATAGGCTCTAAGTATAATAACAAACGATAATATTTGAGCAAAAACATAAATAAACAGTAAAGATATAAAAACTCATATTTATTGTCTTGATAAAAGTTTAAAAAAAAATTATATGTATAATTGTGACAACAAAGATAAAAAGAGCTAAAAAGAGTTTCAAGGATACACAGAATACGACATCATATGAGTGCAAGACCTCGGAAATTATGGAGTGATGGCATTAAGAACAGCCTTACAGAAATGAACATCAATCTTAACAGTGCTCTTGACAGAGCTTATCAATGAACGTTAATCTCCCATGGACACTTCGATGAGGTAAAGGTGGAAGAGAAGAAGAAGAAGAGTCTAACAGACTAAATACAGTCCTGGGTCTAACAGACTAAATACAGTCCTGGGTCTAACAGACTAAATACAGTCCTGGGTCTAACAGACTAAATACAGTCCTGGGTCTAACAGACTAAATACAGTCCTGGGTCTAACAGACTAAATACAGTCCTAAATACAATAGACTCTAAGTATAATAAAAAATGATATCTGAGCAAAAACATAAACAAACAATAAAGATCTAAAACATTGTACTTATTGTGTTTTGATAAAAATGATGACACAGCATATAAAAGTAGGAAGAATGAAGAAGGATTTAGAAATATTGTTTGGAAGGTGTCACCTTCCATGATAACATCAGCAATCCTTGCTGGTGTTTCATATCATAGTCTTTCGCCACATGCAGAGGGTTTGGTGTCACTAGTTTTTGTTGAAGCCAGCGTTCCAAAGGGCTCTGATGTTGCTGACCACTTTGAATTGATCTAATATATTATTACTGGATAAGTTAACACACACACAGTGTGTGTCACCTCTCGACATCTTCTGGAGTGTTTTCTTTGAACAACATGGTCAAAAGTTTGTGGATTTCAGCAGTGCTTATCCTTCTAGCTTCTCCCACTTCTGCAGTTCCTTCCTCCTGCTGCTGGCGAAGGTGCCGAAGCTTTTGCATTAGTCAGTTGTTTGACACAACGTATGAAAACAGACTGAAGCGTCGGTGGCGCTATGTGGTAATGCTAGATTGGCACTTGCCAGGCCTTCAGTTTCAAACGGCAAAATTTACTTGAAATATTTCATTCGGATTTTAAGTTTTTAAGGTGGTCAAATTTGGAGGTACCAATATTTATGTATTTGTGTGTGTGTGTGTGTGTGAATGAATTTATAAAGCATTTATGTCTCTGGCCCTCAATGTGGAAGCACACAATAGTGGCACTTTAGCCTACCATACATGTCACAGCACGCCAAGGAGAAGTGAGACCCCAGCTACACCATTCCACAGAAAACTAGCTTTAGAATACAACCATTCACGAACGGGAAGCACTAAATACAACACAGAATTCAAAACATTCCCATCCGCACATCATCTCCATCTTCAGCAGCAAGTGCACATTTCCAATTCTGAGGATTCCATTAGCAGTCTGAGGGTGTGTCCATCTCATCCCTGCCCTGCGTATTCAGCATCAGCCAGAATCCTGGACACTCCTTGAGGTATCATTCTCTTCAGACTGTGATTGTCTGGGAGTCGCCGTGGCAGAGCGGCTAGACGCGCGCCGCGGATCGGAAGGTCGTGGGTTTGCTCCCTGGCGGAGACGGACTTTTCTTCAAAAATGACATTGGCTTCCAGGTCGACCCAGCCTTGAGTGGGTACCGGGTGCAATCCCGGGAAGTAGAGGCGGCCGGCGTGATGCTGACCACATCACCCATCTTGTGCCGTTGGTCTATAAAAAAATAGGTCTAGCCCTATACGCCTAAAGGTGTGGAAAGGGTCCTTTACTTTACTTACTTACTGTGATTGTCTGTCTGTGCCTCCCCACTGTTTACTCGCTCCAAAAGGGCCCTTCAAACACCTAGCTGGTGATGCATTAAATTACTACCGTGTGGTGCAGAACCAGTCAATCTATCTATCTGTTTATTTGTCAAAGTAAAGGTTAAAAAAAAGTAAAGGACCCTTTCCATGCCCTTAGGCATATAGGGCTAGACCTATATTTTATAGACCAGTCGGCACTTGTTGGGTGATGTGGTCCACCTTTACTTCCCAGGACTGCACCTGGTACCCACTTAAGGTTAGGATTTGCTCCAACTGCAAATGACAAACAAGAAAGTTAGAAGAACACTGATTGAGTACCTGTCTCTCTTGGCTAGTGAGGCTGC